AAAAAAAAAGAAACCAAGCAGATGCCAGCACCACGCTTCATGTATAGCCTGCAAAACCAATTAAATCTCTTTTCTTATAAATTTTAAAAAAAAATTCATATGATCATATGCAGTGGTTTATTTCAATAAAGGATTAGACAACTTTTAAAAAACTAATTTTATGTATTCTGAAATAGTCTATGATTCCATACTAATTACTACATTGTAATCACTATTAGTTCTTAGGGTCTTTAATCCAGCATCACAAAATGTTCCCTAATTGACCATTCACTTTAATAGGAGATGGCACATATGGTTTTTTGCTTGTAATCTAGAGAGGTTCAAGACTTTCAATTTCTATATTGGAAAGTATATTTAATATTATAGAAAATATTTAAAAGACACATAACAGTTATATGGATTTGGTTAATTATTATTTAATAATAAATTATTAACTAGTTAACATGAAATTGTCATTTAATAATACTTTACTATTATCAATGGCTCAAATGTAATATATCTCTGAGTACCACCGATTTAACACATTACTTATCCTAAAGAATTGCCTCATGTGTTGGGTATTAATTAAATCCACAAAGGTATAACTTTGAATAATTCAAGATGTTTTCCAAAAGTTGTATGTGAATCAAAGTTTTATAGATTGGTTTATTTCAAATTTACTGATTGTATATTTCTTAAAATCGTTTTTGAAATAAATCCTTCTAATATGTAAAATTTCAGCCCCTAATTTACTTGCTTTATAAGATAAACTATCAGCAGTAAATCATGCAGTGTATCCCTGTTATTATTTCATTTTGCTGTGGAAACTTTATTCTGAGAAACTTCGAGTGTTTCATATTTATTATTTCATACATGACTCCAACTTCTTTGTAAAGGTTGAACCATCTTGAAGATAAAGAAAATAATGCAGGATGAAGAGAGGAGCCATGCTCAAACTTATGCAAAAACTTCAGGGGAGAACCGGATTCAGAAACTGACCTTTTCATTCTATGCCTTCGTTCATTACCAGCAAACATTAATAATAGAATACTTTACTATCTCCATTTAGATTCTTTGGTTTGTTCCTGAGTTGTTTCACCAAGTTGTCACTCCTACAATTTATTTCTCAAGGTCACTATCCTGTATATCTGTTTAATTTAGATTATGAATCCATTTAGCAAGGATCCAATTCTACATTTTATCTGTAATCTTAGCTTAGTGCAACAAATATTAAATAACAAAAACATAGATTTTAATTCCACTTCTTCCTGAAGGACAGAAAGGATTAAAACATCAATTGGCCTGATTTCAAACGCCCATATCACCATGAGCCCACAGGGATTCTGTGAATCATAAAATTAATTCATATCCAGTCACTGCTATGCCAAGGAACAAACAAGTGCCTGGTACAGATAGGCTTTTAAAACTGATAGATGATTTTATGATTACTGATATAAATTCAAGGAAGCATGTATTTATATTTATTAATCATTCACTGGAAACAGGTAATGCTCTAAAGCTTAAGTTGAATTACATTTTAAATGGATTGAAATTCATTTTTTTTTTAAAAGACAGTCTGAGTACACGCTATTCTAAGTCAAGTCAATACATAATAATTCAGACTTACAAAACATAAAAAATAAAGGTCAGTGTTTCTTTTTTAAAATTTTCTTCTAAAAAACATGGGATACATGTGCAGAACATGCAGGTTTGTTACATAGGTATACATGTGCCATGGTGGTTTGCTGCACCTATTAACCCATCCTCTATGTTCCCTCCTCTCCCCAACCACTCCCTAATAGGCCCTAGTGTGTGTTGTTCCTCTCTCTGTGTCCATGTGTTCTCATTGTTCAGCTCCCACTTATGAGTGAGAACATGCCGTATTTGGTTTTCTGTTTCTTTGTTAGTTTGCAGAGGATGATAGTTTCCAGCTTTATCTATGTCCCTGCAAAGGATGTGATCCAATTCCTTTTTATGGTTGCATAGTATTCCATGGTGTATATGTACCACATTTTCTTTATCCAGCCTATCATGGATGGGCATTTGGGTTGGTTCCATGTTTTTGCTATTGAAAATAGTGCTGCAGTAAACATACGTGTGCATGTGTCTTCACAGTAGAATGATTAATATTCCTTTTGGTATATACCCAGAATTGGATTGCTGTGTCAAATGGTATTTCTGGTTCTAGACTAAAGGCCAGTGTTTCAATCGGCAATTTAATTTGTTGCTTTACAAAAGTACTTATCACAAGATATACTTCAAATAGCTAGTTCCCATTACATTTAAATAATTACTAGGTTTTAAAATCAGGTAACGTGATGCCTCCAGCTTTGTTTATTTTGCTCAAGGTTGCTTTGGCTCTTCAGGGTCTTGCATGGTTGCATATACATTTTAAGGTTGTTTTTTATTTATATGAAACACGTCATTGTAATTTTAGTAGAAATTGCATTTAGTCTATAGATTGCTTTAGGTAGAATGGATATTTTAACAGTATTAATTCTTCCAATTCATTAACACCAGATATCTTTCCATTTATCCACGTCTTCTTCAAATTATTTTATCAGTGTTACTTAGTTTTCAGTGACTTCAAAATCTACTACAAAGCTATAGCAATCAAAACAGCATGGTACCAGCATAATAACAGACACATACACCAATGGAACAGAATAGAGAGCCCAGAAATAAATCCACACTTTTACC